AAGGTGGCTTCGTCGGAGGGTTGCCGGAGAGGGGGTAGGGTGGCGGCTGAGCCGGTACCGGAGTCGTGGTTGTTGTTGGAGGATGATGCGAGGGTAGTTTCGTCGTTGTTTTTGTTAGGTTTTAGCCATTTTACGTAACGGCTGAGGTCGAAATTCGTGACGGCGTTTAGTCCGCGGTACTCTATCGCTGCCATGTCGTACGCTACGGCGGCCTCTTCTTGTGTGGCTGTAACATTTTATTTATTTCATTAATCAAATTAAAAATTAAATTAGGGGAATATTATAATAGAATCAAGATGTTGATTACTAGTATATTTAGTGAATATTATTTATTGAAGAGGTGTAAGTTGGTCAAATTGGCCAACAAACTCTACATTTTGTACATATTGTGATGTCAAAGGTAATTGTGTCACGGGTGTTTGGAATTTTTATTTTAAAATTAAAATTTATTAAATAAAAGTTACACAAAACAAATAGTACTCATCAATATGAAGGAAAAAAGATATATATAATTATATATAGTTGTTATATGTAGGGGTGAAAGTCGGATGGATCGGATCGGAATAAGCCTTTTCGGAAAATTTCCAAAAAAATTCGGAAGTACAAAATCAATTCCAATTCCAATTCCAAAATATTCGGAATCTAAAAATTCATTCCAATTCCAAAAGGCTCGGAAATTTCGGAATTTCGGAAAAAAATCGGAAATCACATAAGCTTTAAAATTTCAAAAATTAGCCGAGATTTTCTAAAATGTTCATAATATTTCAAAAATAAGAACATTCACGTTGATAAAAGTAAAACTAATAACTATTAAATTCAGTTAAAAAAAATAAAAAAAAATAAACACAACATAATATCCAATAAAACTTCTAACAAAAGTTCATTATGTCAAAATCCTAAAACAAAACTCACAGTTGTATTTTTCGGAAAAAGAAGTATTATATAATATATATTATTTATAGGTGTATTTTTCAGAAAAAAATCGGATTATTTCGGAATTAATTCCGGAATTAAATCGGATCGGAAATCGGAAATTCCAAATTTATTTTATATAATTCCAATTCCAATCCAAAAAAATCGGAAAAATTCGGAAATCGGAATTTCGGAAGTCGGAATGAAAAAAGTTGTTCCAAAATCGGAACTTTTCGGATTGGAACCGGCGGAAATTGGAAATTCCGTTCCAACTTGCACCCCTAGTTATATGAGTGAAATTTATGGAATATTTTACCGTAAGTTCCAAGATAGAGGTACTTATTTCCGAAAACCCTTCCGATTCTAGCTTCCCATCTTCCATTATGATGATGCCTGCAATTCATTTGATCGTATAAATAAAAATTTATAATCTAAGGTTCGTTTGAAAGATCTTATAAGCTCTTAAAAGTTTTATAAAAAAGTTTAACAGCTTATAAACTTAGGCAGTCGAAAAAAAATATTGCAAAAAAACTAGCAATGTACTACCTTGCAACTCCTCTATATTTGGACACTCCTCTCGAAAAAACACTGTTTTTCCTGTGGTTTTCACCTAAAAATAAATTCCCACACTCGCGTTTTATTTTTTTCAAATAATATAAACTATTATTAACACTTTTTTAATTTTATACTAGCGCTCTTAATGATACAATATACTCTTCTCTTGATTGTGCCTCCATCTCTGTAAACAGCTTTTCTTAAGTGGAGAACTACAAAATAAATGAAAATATATTTTAAATTAATATATATTTGTTTTTCGTGGTGTGAGAAATAAAATATATACTTATTTTGGAGAACACTCATAATATATGTGGAGGAAATTAAAGAAATTATATAGTTACTGGGAAATTGAGAATAGTATCTTGACCCCAATACTTAAGTGCAGCCAAATCATATGCATGAGCTGCTGCTTCTTCATCATCATAAGCACCTGATATATAATATATTATATATATATAATATACATTAGTAATTAATCAAATTAAAAGCGAATAAATAAATAAATAAACAATTAAAAATCCAATATTGTTTAGTAAAGGAAACAAATAACATACCAAGATATACTGCATGCATTTTCCACCAACATTTCCAACCATAGTCATGAAAATGGCAAACAAGAAATTAATTATTAGCTGATCAGTCCATTTTATATATATATATATATATATATATATATATATATATATATATATATATATATATATATATATATATATATATAAAATCAACCTTGTCTGCCCTTTTTATTCTGTGTCTCATTCCAGCAATTTTTATCCCACAAATGTGCTTCATAACGACCCGTCCAACGATGCCTTAAAAAACCCGAAAAATCATTATTAAAAAAAAAAAACCTAGTGCATACAGTATATATATTGATGGAAAAATAAATAATCTTATTGTTGGGCGTTATATATATATATATATATATATATATATATATATATATATATATATATATATATATATATATATATATATAAACCTTGTTACGCCGCGATAAATCGAACTGCGCTGAGGTGGAGTGTCTCGAGGGATAGTTTTCCTCGTACGCTTGCGCTTCATCCCTACAGGAACATCGGCACTGACAACGTTGTTGTTAATGGGGCTTTGCTGTGATAACTTCGCCATTAATTTAAAGCTGGATTAATTAAGAAGTTAATTACCAGCTGTGGTTTATAAAGGGAATGTGGATTAGCAGTGCTGGCAAAATTGGAAGTGTGTACATATTTGTGCCGGCAGATTGATTATTGGCCGTCTCAAAACGGCACAATGAAAAAGTGCAATTTAATTAATTAATTAATTATGTATCATTATATTTAGTTAATCTACTGATTTTATTTAGAAAATAATCATATCTGCTCAACTTCTACAACTAACTTTTGTCAACCACATAACAAGTTGTAATTATTTTATTTTATTGTATTGTAATTAGTGGATTAGTGGATATTAAGTTGTGTTATTGAAGATAAGGACAATTTCGATATGAATTTACGAATCGTAATGGTTGCTAGAAATCGGGTCGAACTAGTTAGTTGATCCGCAATTCGATCGTTGATCCAATCAGTTTGAATAACGAAAAGAATCAGATTAATGAAATGAAAAAAAAATGTTGATGTCGAAAACCAATATAATTGAGTAAAAAAATCGATTTTCATGCTTCATTAGGAAGTCGATTTTATTGATGAATTAGACTTTTTAAATTGATTTTAGGCTTTAGCCATTTTTTTGTTTTGAATATGTTTACAAGATAATCACATCCAAACTATCTATTAACATTTAAATATATATATATATATATATATATATATATATATATATATATATATTGATTCGTAAACAGGATAAGATTTTATTTTTGTTTATTCAAAGTACATATATACTGGGTTTATTGGTAATATCAATAAAAACTGGTTTTATTAGCTGTGTTGTATACTATTCTATATCGTCACTCTTCAATTGTTTGAACTTTGAAGATAAGAATTTCTAACTATTTTATAGCCTTAAAAAAATTTAAAATTTCAATTTTCACCTCAAAATAGTATTTTCCGTTACTTGCCAACGGATATGTAACGGCGGGGACCCAAAGTGTTTAAACTTGAACATTGGAGGTGAATTTTGTTCACTTTAGAACAACGGGGACCAAAAATTAAATCGGGCCAAAAATGAGGGACCCAAAATGTAAATCTCTCCAAAGTTATCTTTATTACTTAATGGGCCTGAGCCCATGCCCCATTATTCTCAATGATCCGTACCGCATGGGATTAAAAGAATAATGGTAAATCTTTATTTCGTTCTTTGTAAATTGTAAAAGGTATAGGGGTTTATTTATAAATTGCAAAGATGAAATAAAGGATCTCAAGGAAGTGGAATCTATTTAATTTATTTATTTTTTCCCAAACAATAGGAATTGCAACAAATTAATTAAGATACAAAAGGTATATGATTTATTAGTAGTTTGGTCAGCTACACCAAATTAAGAGGGTCTTAATTGTCACTAATTTTTTTTTGCATATAATATAGAACAACTATAATTAACCTAACATGAAGTTTTAATTTTTTATAGTGGTACGTAACCATATATTGCGTGTGTGTGTTTACGATGTATGATTCTAGATCATCATATTAAGTA